CCGAGGCCTCCAAGGCTGCGGGCGGCGGCAGCCGGGAGCCCAGCCCGCTGCCCGAGCTGGCGCTCCGGAAAGTGGGGGCCCCTCCCCGCGGGGCCCTGTCGCCCAGCGGCTCGGCCAAAGAGGCGGCCAGCGAACTGCAGAGCATCCAGAGACTGGTGAGTGGGCTGGAGAGCCAGCGAGCCCTCTCCCCCGGCAGGGAGTCGCCCAAGTGAGGGGGCTGCCCAGCCGCGCCGCCGCCACGCTGGCCTCCGGGGCTGCCTGCGCCTGCTGCTTGGGACCTGTACAGCACAGAATGGGTATTTATTTAAATAAAGGAGCAAAAGCGGGCTGCAGCAGCCGGAATAGAGTCCTGACCAGCCAGCGGGGGTGGGGTGGGGGGCCTGGGACACTGCCCTGAACCTCACACGGAACCCCGCTCCCGGGATCACAGTCGCTTTGGGGCCACTGGACTCGGTCCAGATTTGCTCGTGTCAAGGTGGCATCGTCCAGGTCCTCCAGTGCTGTGGGGAGACCTCATCTCCCGCCCAGCGGTCTCTTCAGGAGCCAGAAGGTGCAGGGGTTAGAGGTGGGAGCTTTGGAGGGGAGCCCCAGAGGCCCTGGCCTCCTGCCTGGACCGTATGAGAATCTGGGGTGAGGGGTGCTGGGGTCCATGAAGACAAGTCAGTGTAGACTTGAGCCGGGAGGGACCTGTTCTTTCAGTCCCCCCAGCCCTGTCCCCAAGAGGCAGGCGCCCCTTCCACCCCTGGGTCAGCGGAGGGAGTGGCACTTCTGCCTTGATTCCCAGGGAAGAAAAAAAAAAAAAGATATTTATAAAATAAATGGTAATTTGTGTAAATAAGCTTTAAGATTCCCAGAATATGCAAATTGGTATTAATTTATTCAAAGGTGTACATTGCTGTGTACATAATATTTAGAGATTAACTCATAGCATTTAATTTTTCTTCCATTTCACCTGAGCATCTATATTGTACAGGGCTGAGGGGGGCGTCCTCGGCTGCAGAAGGCCCGCCCCNTTCCCCAGTACGGCAGACCCTAGAACTCTTCCATCTCTGTGCCTCCTGAGTCTCAAAAAGAAACACCCTCTCCGTGTCGGGGCTGTTGACTAGAGTGGCAAAGTTTAGCCCGAAAGTTCTTCCTTGTAACTCATCTGAATCTCTCTCGGAGGTGTGGGAGTGTGGGTGGTAGGCTAGCCCTTTCCTGCCTCAGTTTCCCCCTATATAATAATGGGCTTGGCTGGGGAGTCTCCGGGAGTCCCACTGTATCAGCCGCCCTTAGGCCCGCCCTTCCCCAGACCCGCTCCTGCAAAGACAACTGCGCCCGGCCCTCGTCCTGTGAGCTGGGCGGGGGGCACCCTCCCCCCTTCTCCCCGCCAACAGCGTCTGCAGCCCCAGTGATAGCAGGAAGGGTGGGAGGTGGGCAGTCGGCCACTTCCTCCGCCCACCCCTAGGTCTCCCCCTTACTGACCCCTCCACCTCCTTCCCAGTTCTCCTTTTTTTCTCTGGTTGTGACTTTATTTATATATATATNTTTTACATTCGATATTATTTTGTATTAGTTTCAGGTGTACAGTGTAGTGGTGAGTCATATTTTACAAAGTGGTTCCCGGATACTTCAAGTACCCACCTGCACCACGCACAGCTAAGATATTATTGACTGTATCACTTCCCTATGCTGTGCCCTACCTCCCCGTGACTGCTTTGTGACCACCAACCTGTACTTCTCAATCCCTTCACCACTCCCATCCAGCCCCCAAACCCCTCCCCCTGGCACCCCTCAGTCTGGTCTCTATCTGTGAGTCCCAGTTCTCTCTTTAAGCCTTAGGGATCCGTGACGCCCTGCCGGGCAGGCTGTCCACCTCTGCACTTTGGACAGGGTGGCAGGCACTGGCCTTCGACTCACCAGGGACGCCAGGGGACGGTGATTCTGGTGGAGAAAGGGTGAAGGTGGTGGTGGAATTGACAGTGTCCTGGCCTCCGAGCTCCCAGGACACCTTCCTGGGCCTACACATTTGCAAGGAAGGAGAACTGGTGGTCTCTTCCCGGGAGGGAGCTGGCCCCTGGCCACGCTCCACTTGGCTGTGGTCTGGGCCGGTGAACGAGCGGGAGGGCGAAGGAGACTGTCCCGGCCCCTAGACGGCGGGCTCCCGCTTCCCTGCCTCCCTCCGGGCTTCAGGCCGGCAGAGCAGCGAAGGGGCTGCCCAAGACGGGGCGCGGCGGAGAGACCCCTTTCCCAGCCCAGATAGAACCCTTCGTCGATAGCGCACTTGCTCAAGGGGGCTTTGGGCTGAAAACGCCTGTAAGATTCAAAGAGGAGGAGTGCGTCCGCTCCTTCGGTTTCTGGCCGTCGGTGCGTCTGGAAGGAGGCGGCGCGTCCACAGCAGCCTGCGAAGCGCGCCGCTGACACCAGGGGGCAGCACCCGACTGGAGCCGCGGGCGGGGCCGCGGGCGCAGTGGGGACCCAACGCCGGAGGGTCGCCGCTCAGGCGGGGCGGGGCGCTGGCGGGAGGGTCTGGGTCGGCTGAAGTGATACTGGAGGCCCCGCGCCCCGAGTGCAGTGTAGACTCGTCCTTGCTTTCCTCCCCGCCTCCCGCCCTGCTCTACTGGGTCCCGGCTGCGGGAACCGGGCTGGCGGCGGGAGCTGGTCCCAGACAAAGGCCAGGCGGCCCCCTGGCCCAATTAAGCCCCAGTCCTTTCAGCCCCCTTTGTTCAGTTAGCCCCAGCTCCGGGCATCCCGCAGCTCCCCTGCCCCAAGGCCTCCTTAACCCTTCAGGGCCTGGCACCGGGGGCCCTAGACGGCAGCATCGCCAGCGTGCGGACCTGTGCGGAGGGCATGTTTAGGGGTGACGGGGACTGAGAGGCCGCTGAGGCTTGTTGGTGACTTGCTGCGTCCCACTGGGGCTCTGTGCCTGGGGCTGTGCGGTCTGAGGGGATTGTGCATGTAGATGGGGGATTGCGACCGAGTCAAGAGGGAGTTTGGAGACTGGAGGTGTGGGCTCTGTGGGACCCCTAGTGGCTAGGCAGCCAGGATTCCGAGACCTGGGGGACCTCATTTCCCCTTCGGTTAATCCGAGTGTCTCGAGCCCTCAAACCACCCCTCCCTCCCCCAT